GCACAGTCTCAGGATGTCCCCAGAAGAAGGGAAGGGTAAACCACTTCTGAGTACTCTCTACCTAGGAAACTCTGACAAGGATCACTGTAAATCAGGATTGACTTGATAGCACACAATTATTATTTAAGGACCTTCCTTACAGCACACTCTTTCCTTGTTTTAGTTAGTTAGTTAGTTAGTTAGTTAGTTTATTAAATTTGTACCCTGTCCATTTAGTCAACTGACTACTCTGGGCGGCTAAAACATATAAAATAAACCAATTAAAATACAGAACAAGCAATACAATAATAGACAAGGACTCAAGATGAGAAAACAAAATAAATCAAGAGGTGGCTGGAGGGAAGGCTTGCCTAAATAGCCAGTTTTTCAGTTGGCCTTTGAAAATGCCCAGCAAAGGGGCCATACAAATCTCAGAAGGGAGGCTATTCCAAAGGCAAGGAGCCACTGCCGAGAAGGCCCGGTTTCTTTTTTTTTCCTTCCCGGCCTCCCTCGGCGTTAGGTTCCTCAGCCTCACCTCCTGGCTAGATGGAGTGATACAAGTAGATTTGGGTTGGAGGAGGCGTTCCGTCAGATATCGAGGCCCTAAACCGTAGAATTATTGTCTAACATAAGTTGTTTCTTTCAATGATCTTTGTGATATATCTTGCTACACAGGGACTCCTTGGATACATTTTTGATCTTGGAAGATGCATGTTTTAGTATAGAAAAAGAGACAAACTCTCTGGTATTTTGTACCCAAGAAATTTGGGATTTTAAATATAATTATGAACATTAGATCAATATTCATAATTAGAAGAACTGCCATGATCACCATCTCCTTATGCTTTTTCTGCTTCATTAACAGGGACTGGTTCTTCTCCCCATAGAGAATATTAGAATATTGTTAGAAGCATTTAATCAGCAGGAGAGGAAAGAAAGATGTAAACTGTCATTGTCTGCCATGTCAAAGTGGGGCCTTGAGGCTCACAGAAGCCCTTCTCTTTCCCCTTGTCCTTGTGTTTTTCACAAAAGCCCAAATCCAATATGAATTTGATCGCAGGACAGTGGAACCCTCTTTCCATCTTCTCCCGGATGCAGTCTTCAGAGTGGCTCAAAAGCCAGCTCCAGAGGAGTTCCCATCCCCTCTGGAGCAAGAACTGAACTCTATTCTCTTGCCTTGGAATTGGTCTTTCTGTCAGTGCAAATCCAGCATTGAATCCTGGCCTTTATTCTAAATGGAAGTGTTCCTGGCATCATAAACCATATTGCACAGCCTCAGGAACACGCAGCATAATTTTATATTGGCTCAAATAACAGTGCATTAAATAAATGCCTACTATAGTTCCTTCCTTCATCTGGGACATACTTTAGCAATCATGAGCAGGAAATTATTTCTTTTAACTCTCCCCCCCCCCTTATTCTCTGGCTACATTGTCCTCCCCCCCACTCCGTAGCATTTTGAATACAATGGCATGAAGGAAATCTCTTTTGGTTCCATGCTGCAGCTTTGCTTTGATGTCAGGCATGAAAAAGTTGTTCTGCAGAATTGCACAAAAGAGATGAAAAACAGCCCACAGTGATGGGATATGAAAGAGGTATGTGGTGAGTGAGCCTTAAAACTGGACTGCCTAAAACAACTGAAGAATTTCAAGTCATGGGATGTTTACAAATGCATCTGCTTTTAGGTCACAACCTCTTTATTTGCTACATTTGTTCTGTCTGCCCCAAAGCAAGCAAAAGATTGCGGAGAAGACCAGGGTAGGTGCTTGAAGACAGGACTTCCACCCTGCCATCATCCTGTATCAAACACATCGTTTTATGAGCGCCTCAGTATTGTCTTCTCTTAGTCACCTTGTCATGCTTTCACCCCATTGCTTCCTCCATCTTATTCTTTATCACCGGCATTCAGGGAGAAAAAACAAAACAGATGTCCAATGACATATTTTCAGTAAAGTTAGAAAACCACGCTCTGGAAGCACCCAAGAAGTGAGAGGTTGCATGAATCACGTTGACCAAATTGCACTGAAACAGGCCAGGACAAGCAGGCTGCGCACTCATTAAGAGCAATTCCTCAGACATGCCTTTTATGCAGATAAGACAAATGTGGGCTTCTGGTGGGGTGGCTCAGAGACTGGGCTGGGCCAGGAGGGTACCTTTCCTTAATATTTCAAGAGGAGTGCTCTCTCTGCCCTGGTCACAAGCCACTTTTGGGCTCTGGTGGATTGTGCACATATTTTTTTTATCACTCTTCAGATAATATATGGTATTCAGGACCATGTTTTGCCATATTTTAAAGGAAGTATGGTATAGCAGGGGCAGGTCACCTTTGTTCTGTCACAAACAGCATTGTAGCATGGGTAATTTGTTAGACGTCACATGTCAGTGATGGGTAGGGCCAAAATCACAAGTAAATAAATTACCTATTTTCAGTTTCTGACTCTCCCCTTTCTGTCTTTCATCCAACTCACTCATATCTCTCTTCTTTCCTTCTTTCACCTTATTCACTTCATCTCCTTTTGCTATTTCCGCTCCTTTCTCAAGCCCATTTGGGCTCACAGTGAAAAGATTCGTGTATCCACATTTCCAAAAGGGTCACAACAATCCAGGCTTTTAGTAACTTTGAGAGACCTTTATTTTATATACCTAGTATTATATAAAAATGGCACCTAAGAGTGTTTTCCTACTTGGTCAAATCATCTAGGAGGCTATAAATATTGCCATCTATAGGAAGAGGATAAGAAATGAGCTTTCTAGATAAAGCAGAAGCTATATTTCTATGAAAATTTGAGGGAAGCCAGAGCTCTTTAATTCCCATATGTGAAAATTCTCAAATCTGTTTTGCACTTCTTCTGTTGAAAAAGTCAGGACCATACTAAGTATAACATTAATCTCATCAATATAATTATTGTGCACATTGTCTACTGTGTTCAGGGAAGCCTGTGCAGTCTCTCAATTGTGGGGATGTCGAAAGGGCAGATTTAATCTTCTCCCTCCTTGCCATACAAAAATCTCCTACTCTAAACTCGTATTTACATTTCAAGAGAAGTCAACATTAACTGCTCGGCTTTCATCTCATCTCCACTGCTGTTTACATTTTTAAGAAGGAAACCTGTTGCATTGAGTTAACATAACATCTAGCCAGATTCTTAACTGTAGAAATTCAAGCCCTTTATAGGCAGTGATGGAGAATGGATTATGTTGAGAAGACCTGCCAGTCATTGATGTCTAATATATTTGTTCCATTTGTTCTCCATGAACAGAATGGAATGATTGCCCACATTCTTTCTGATAAGTGCATTGAGGCCACGGAGACAGATCTACATCTACAGCCCTGTAACAAGGAAGCCAACCTGATGTACGAATTTGATAATTCAGACCACCAAAGTGAAAGATGAGAAGAAAGATCTCCATAAACACACCATGGTTTACTCATTTGCTTCTAAACTGTAAGAAAGGGAAAAAGCTGCCTGCCTGTTCTCCCTGAATGGAAAATGGACAATGGAGCAGTTGGGTGGTTCATGCATTTTTACCAAAAGTGGGCTACAGTGACTTGGTATTGAAATGTATGTTGTGCTGTTGCCAAGAAATAAGAGATACATGTTAAATGGAATTATATTTGTTTCTAGGGAATGATTTAAGCATTTAGATTACATGAACTCTTCATCAGGCAGACTGGAAAGGGATCATCAAAATTAGCTGCGGTGCGTTGTATTCAGCCCCGCCCCCAGAAACCTAGATGCTGATGACAGGTGTTTATTTGAGAATATATTGCATAATTTATGAAGAAATGTACATTTTCCCCCAAATCTTGAGAAATTATTCTCTGAACTTTGCTACAACTCGTACAGAAACCTGGAAAGCTAAGTAAGACTTCAGACATCTGCATTTTAAATTATTACCAATGTACTACGTCTTATATGTGGTGAAATCCAAACTCCAAAATACGCTAGCTACAATGAGCTTGGAATAGCCAGAAGCCTCTTGTGCTGGCACATTCCCCTTGCAGTGGATAATCTCAGATCTCTTGGCATAACTGGATCAGGTGCCACTGCAGCTTTGCTGACTGAAATGGGCTGGCAGAAGGGCCAAAAAAGAATTGTAGAAGTGAAGGAGTGGAAGAGGAGCTAAGTTACAGTGGAATTAAATCCCTCTCAGCCCAGGCCCACAACTACTATGGTGGTACGAAGTTACACCCGGGTCAAAATCATCCCAAGTAATTCCCAGCAACTCATTATTCCAAATAAGCAGATGGAAAGGAAATCACCAGTGATATTAGATACCTTCTTCCTGAAGCCACTGAATGAAGGGATGGAATTCTTGATGATGTCTCAGCGTGTTAAGATACTAACTCTTAAAAGATCTGTACTTCATTGTTGTCATAGGAAAAGACCTAAGCACCTCTAGCCAGCCAGCTGTCTTCTCTTTTTTTGTAAAGGGGATTACGTATATCCCTGAGGTATTCAGCTTCTTCAAACCTGGGGCCTTTAGCTCAATGTGCACATTCTTTCTACTTCAGCTTGGCCTTAGCCATAATTCACAGAACCATCCAATAATAAATTCCTCTATAGCCCCCCTTATCTGAATCCTCAGACACCCCATGGATTCTGCTCTCACCATCCTCCAGTTTTAATTTAATAAGTAGGTCCTCTTCAGAGCCAGTATGGCACTTTCATTCCCTGACACTATTTATTTTACTTGTGATATCATATTTTCCACCACCTTCTTATCTCCTCTCCTCCTACACACCTCAGCAATAAGTGTTGAGCTGGGTAGCAAAAGTCTATGGATCTTTAATCACCAAAGTCCACTCTATAGTTTCTCCATAACTTCTAATGCCAGAAGTGTACATATCTGCAAAGTGTTGTAGACAGGAAAGATTAGTTATTTTAAGTTATTTTAAGGCTCTGGGAGCTCTGAATCCAAACATCTGCTTACATACTGTGCAGACTCTGAGCCTATATTCAAATGAATTAATCCAATCTCTTAGAGTGAATGATAAACACTTCCATTAATCTAGTAACCTGAGGTAGACGTATGAAAAAACTCCGATAATGCAGTTGTGCTAGATTTAACCATAGAGCAAGTGAGAGGGCAAGAGGCTGCATATGCATGCTATCATTTTTTGCAACCTACACATTCATTTCCACTAATGCAGCAGCACTGTTGGATCCAGTTCCTGGCCTCTTCTTTGTGAATGGAAAAAATATGGATGAGATTGTGCTGAACACATAAAAGAACTGTCATGGCAATGAATAATTTCATAGCTTTTCTAAGTGTGTGTTGTGTTTTGGTTTCTATTTTCAGCTTCCACAGTCTAGAAATGGGTACAATCTAACACTGGAGTTATGCAAGTATTAACTGAAAGCACATTATGGGTGAAAGAGTCAGAATTGCTACATCATGAACATATTGGCTGAAATCCTGTTGCTTGGTCGCAACTGTAATAGGCCCACTGAATCAGTGGGGATTTGGTGAGTCAACCTGTCTATGTAAGTTCCATTGATTCAGTGGGCCTACTCTAGTTGTGGCTTGGTACTCTACACAACAGGATGCCAGTCATAGTTATCCGCCCAGAGTAGTCGGTATGACTAGATAGGCGGGCTATAGATGTAATAAATAAATACAAAAATAAATCTAATTATATTCCAAATTACTTTTGTCTGTTATGAGCAATGGAGAAAATTAAATAGACATAACAATGTATAGGTGTGTTCTGGATCTTCCCCAAACTAATAAATGCTGAAAGGCTTAAAATAATCTTTTAGTCAGGTTAACTGATCCATTAAACCTCTTCTGGAGTTTGCCATGAATGCTGAGCAAAAATGCATTACAATATAATAAAAATAACAATCCTATATCCAGAATCTGAACTCTCACATTGTACTCATCACTGAACAGGTCATTGCCCACTCTAACACTGATTAACGTTTGGCAGGAACATAGCAAGGTATCGTGTTAGGTCAGACCACTAATTTGTTTAACTCAGCACAGTATGTACTATCAGACAGTGACCCTTTAAGAGTCTTCCCCAAGGATACCACTGAGTGAACCTGTGACCTTCAGCTCACAAATTACAAGTTCTGCCATTGAGTTAGATGAGCCAGATGATTTCAGAAAGAGGCTCTTATGCAGCAGTATGGAAGCTGCTCAGCAGGAGCTCTGGATTAGCACCAAAGTAGACAATCCAGAAACTGTGGCTGAAAAATATCCTTGGCACGCAACCTCCATCTGTTGAGAAAGACAAAAATTACATTTTTGCAATTATATGTCTGTTTACAATAGAGCATAGCAGATAGATAACATTACAGACATTTGAGGAAAACTGAATGGATTGTTGAACAACATTCTAAAATGTTGTTCCAAAATTAATCCACATATGGAATTTCTGAAATATTTTACAACAGATATCCCTTTCTGTCACTAATGATGAGAACAGTAAGAGGGCTAGCCTAACAATGTGTGCTTGATACTTAGTCATCTCTTTACATTTGTTTCTCTTAAGGTATTGATATACCTTAATTACTCACACGCACATTATTTGTTAAATGGGCATAGATTTTGTAAAAAATTTATTTATTTCTCATCTACTTATTTAAAGCATTCGTTTATCTCCATTTGGCCAGCCAAGTTCCTAAAGCAATTTACAATACATCAACATTTATAATAGATTCAAGATTAATTAATAGAATTTCCTGTGAATTGACAAAGAATATTAACCCATGGTTGGGCATGTATATCAGTGTCACATATATTTTGTAGCTCACACATTTGAGTGCAGCTTGCATTTATTGTGAATTTATCTGATAAGTTGTTAATTGCACATATGATACAGTATAGAAAGGAAGAGGCTGACCAGAAAGGAAATGGTTTATATGTTGACACTTGAGTATGTAGTAAAATTCAGTTTGTCCAAGAGTAGATGACATCTCACTCTATATGAAGGAATGAATGCATAGGGAAGTCTTTCTTTAATTATTTTAACCTTTAACCTATTAGGTTCAGTAAATAATTCTCTTCCTACTGTAAAGGCATGTTGTGAACTTCTCTACCGCTATAGCTCTCTTTGCCACAACAAATACAATGAAGCTCTACCAGAAGGAGGTAGAAGGGGTAGGGGAAGAAAGGTTGTGTTGTGTGGAATATCATGTGCAACCCTTTGAGAGGAAGCCATTGCATTCTTGTTAGGCTTCGAAGGGGGGGAAACAGCTTGGTATCTGAGTCCAGATAAGGCTGAAGATACTATCATTCAGTAGAAAACCTAGAAAGCGGAAGCCTAAATTCAACTGTGGAATGTTGTTTAGAGATCTCCTATATGTGAATGAAAATTGCATTCCCCACTGCAATTTACATTTGTATGATAATTCCTATTTGCTACCTATTGCACAAACATTCTATCTTCATTAAATAGTTTTTAGACAGCTTTGCAGTAGAAAAACAGCCTTCTTTCTGCCTGTCCCCTCTCTGAAGCCTAGCTTGATCCTGGTGTATTTCCAGGAACAAGAGTTAGAGAATATTTTATTTTTAAAGGAAATACCACAATAAACAAAGAAGACCCTGTTGTCTGTCTGTGGTTCTGTCATACTTCTATTGCTCTCAGACAATATTTCATACAAATAAAACCAGAAGCCCAGCTATTTGAAGGGTGTACATAGGGAAAGGAGAGGTCAAATTATACAATTTTATACAATTGCAGTCGTAAGATCGAATCCACGCAACGGAGTGCGCTCCCGTCGCTTGTCCCAGCTCCCGCCAACCTAGCGGTTCGAAAGCATGCAAATGCAAGTAGATAAATAGGGATCACTTCGGTGGGAAGGTAACAGTGTTCCGTGTCTCAGTCGCACTGGCCATGTGACCACGGAAGATTGTCTTCGGACAAACGCTGGCTCTATGGCTTGGAAACGGGGATGAGCACCGCCCCCTAGAGTCGAACACGACTGGACAAAAAAAATTGTCAAGGGGAACCTTTACCTTTACCTTATACAATTTTAATCAGTTATGTCAACCATTTCATCCCTGACATACCTGCAACATTGGCACAATCCAGCATTGCAGATGTCAATGCCAGAGCTTGGAAATGTTAAGTTACCAACGATAAGTTATTTGTAAGTCATTCCTTTCCTTTACAATAACTATATTAGTTTAGTATAACCATAACTTAGTGACTTCTTTTGCAGTGTCATAGTCATGTCTTACTTATTTTTATCTTTAGAGACGTGGGATATGACATGTGGGAGAAGCCCCACTCAATTCCAGTGTGGGCTCATTCTGTGTCTTGTCCAGTCTTGTGCTCTGTTGTGGGTACTGACAAATGACAAGGTGGAGAGGAAGACAATGTGTTTTGTGCTGGAGGACAACATCTTGCAGCATCTAAGGTTGTTTAAAAGTCTCCAGAAGATCACTATTTTGAGTACTTTCCAGACATGAGTGTTGCTTTTAGAAACTCCAGCATAACATGGCCTTGGTGCTACAAGTGTACCTAATTATCATTTAAAGTCGCTTCCCAAGCTCTGGCTCACACAGGATTATAAATGTCCACAGATAAATATTTCATATACTGATCACAATAAAAATTAATATGCTATTTGAAGTATTACTTTTTTCCCAGCAAGTACACGATAGTCTACACTTTTTCATCAGAAATTTAATTTTGAAGATAGTTATGCACTGTAAGTTGGAAGCGACTTATAGTATCCTAATAGTGCTTTCAAGGTATTTAAGGAGCAGTTTTACCAGTTCCACTCCCCCAGTGAGTTTCCATGGACAAGTGGGGATTCAGACTCTGTTCTCCTGAGTCCTAGTTGGTCACTCTATCCATTACACCACACTGGGTAGTCAAAACTTTGAGGATAGAAACTTAGAGGATAAAATACCACAAATGAGAAATCTGTGCACATTCCTTGAGCAGGCAACTATTTGTGCAAAAGAGCTCAATAGAGACCATTTATTCACAGCAGGGGAAGCGAACATCATTTAAGCCTGTATCATCTTTAAACACGCCTTGGTATGGCTGCTGCTTGGTCTGAATGCCACAGATTCCACCCTTAGGACAGATGGGGCTCCATCGACCATAATCACCAAAAGGGCCACCGGGTCCTTCTAAAGAAACACCATTGCTACAGCGGAATTTGATGTTGTTTGCTGCGGTGTTGTCAAGACGTATTGCATAAGGTTCAACTTTCAGCTGGAAGGCATGCAAGACACTTCCTTGTGGGCACCATCTGATCCGTGACCATTCCCCAAATCTGGAAAAGGAAAGGAAGCTGTAAGTGATGGTTTTGTTCAACGCAGAGCTGGAATTCATTTAAAAATCATTTTAAGGAAACATGGTTGACTCCATTTTAAAGAAATTCAGTGGTCTGGATCCCAAAAGTACTTTTCTGTACAGGGATGGTATATATTCATTGAATGGTGTTTTTTTTTTTTTTTGCGCCATGCACTAAAAGTACTGTGTGGTAAAAGTGAAATCCAATCTAGAAAGAGTCTTACTTATATAAGATCTTGTACAAGTAGTTACGAAACTAATTCCTCCACAAGTATTTGTAGAACAATTTTAAAATATATTATGATAATCATAAATAATAATTAACGCAGTCAAGTGAATTCCAACTCATTGTGACCCTTTCCAGGATTTTCTAGGTATAAGGTACTCAGAAGTGATTTACCACTCCCTTCTTCTAGAGGCATCCTGGGTCTGTGAAACTTGCCCATGGCTACACAGGCTTGCTTTTCTTTCAGGAGGCATAGTTGAGGAACCCAATTTTTTTGGCTCCTATGGCCAGGGACCCAACAACTAAGACATCTATTTGGCTGGCAGCTATGAGAGTTCTTTGAATGTAACCCTAAAATTTGTCATGTTTTCTGCTTGTTTTTGTTTTGTTTGAAATAATATATTATTTACTGTCTAGATAAGGATGCTGTGATATACTTGGGATGTATTTAGAAGAGGTACTCCTTCAAGTGGTGAAAAACATAGGACATGGCTTTCCTAATCTGAACAACTTGTTTTGTGATTGGTCTTCAGAGATAAACATGTTGGAAGCTTGTGGAGGCCTTCACTTGTGAGAAAATTTCATGTGGAGGGATGAAAACAAGTTAATTGTAGGAAATTTACTCTCTTTAATGCCTAGTCTGACTCATAAATGTGGCATTTACTCAACAATCATTTTTCTGTGTAGAGAATTGTACACCAAGAGCACTTATCAATAGCTCCTTCTCAAATTGGGAAGAGGTAATAAGTGGGGTACCACAAAACTCTGTCCTAGGCTTGGTGCTCTTCAACATTTTTATTAATTACTTGAATGAGGAGGTGCAGGGAGTACTTATCAAATCTGCAGATGACACAAAATTGGGTGGAATTGCTAATACTCTGGAAGACAGAAACAAGTTCAAAAAGATCTTGAAAGACTTGAACACTGGGCTGAAAACAACAGAATGAAATTTAACAGGGATAAGTGCCAAATCCTACACCTAGAAAAAAGAAACCAAATGCACAGTTACAAGATGGGAGCTACACTACACATGAGAAGGATCTCGAAACTGTCGTAGATTGCAAGCAAATGTGAGCCATTGGTGTGATATGGCTGCAAAAAAAGGCAAATGCTCTTTTAGGCTGCAATAACAGAAGTATAGTCTCCAAATCATGAGAATTACTAGTTCCCCTCTGTTTGCCACTGGTTAGGTTTTGGACACTGTACTTTAAGAATGATGCCAACAAATTGGAACAAGTTTAGAGGAGGGTAGCAAGGATTATTAGGGGACTGGAAACCAAATCCTGTGAGGAAAAATTGAAAGAATTGGGCATGTTTAGCCTTGAGAAAAGAAGAATGAGGAGAGCTATGATAAGAAATACTTGAAAGGATGTCATACAGAGGGGGGCCTGAATATATTCTCAGCTATCCAGGGTGCAGAAGAAGTTATGGACTCAAGGTACAGGAAGCCAATTTTCAATTGAATGTTAGGAAAAACTTCCCAACTGTTAGAGCAGTACGACAATGGAGCCATTTACCTTGCACTGGAGGAACTCAAGAAGAACTTAGACAACTGTCAGATCTGCTTTGATTTGGATTGCTGCATTGAGTAGGGTGTTGCACTCAATGGCCGTATAGGGCCCCTTCCAACTATATTATTCTATGATTCTATGCTTTTCCTTATTTGTTTATTTACCACACCTTTCTCCTTAAAAAGAACCCAAGGCAGTTTAAATCATTACAAGATAATATTTAAAGCTAAAACAATGAGTATATAAATACTTAAAAAAAAAAAATAATCAAATATTACTTTAAGAAGCAAAAACAGTACCAAAACACATTCAAAGCAGTAAGGCACAACAACACATTTTAAAACCCCACTTAGACAGCCAGTCACTGAAAGGAAGCTTGCCTGAAGAAAAAAGTCTTCATTTGCTTGTGGAAGGACAGCAAAGATGGGGCCAGCCTCTCAAATTGCTCCCATTACAGGCATAACTCTAATACCCTTGGTGTTCTTGCTAGTTGTAGCAGAAGCAATTCATGACTGAGAGGTGAGATGATTTTCTTTATTTTTTTAAAAAGGACAAAGTTCCCCCTGGTGGGAGAGTGCAGCAAAATGAGACAAAGTAGAGCATTCTGGGAGCACTATCGAGCTGGATCTTGCATATTTAATGTCTTACCCATTGGTTTATGTTAAGGTTCCAGAGAAATAAACTCAAAAGCCGAATAAAACTAACTGATTGCCTTCCACCATGGCCATTGTCAGATAAAAGTGCTTTGGAAGTGATAGATGGCACTTTGCTCTCCCAACCCTATTTAGGATTGTATTGCTCATTATATTCAAAACAGATCCTTTGAAATTAGTGGGATTCAAGTTAATCATTCCTAAATTGGGTCCCATTCACCGTCATCCTGTTCCATAGCTCCATGGACACAGTGGATGTCTCCGGCCATAGTAGGTTGCCATTAATGAAAGAGTTCCTCCTTTGATTTCAGACTGTGTGCAACTTGATATCATTGCCTGTGAGTGGCACGTAACAAATGCCCTCCCTCAAGCCGAGCTGTTTACTTAGTGGTAATCTACCATGGCTGGTAGCATCACTCTTGTTGCACGGGCAGAGTTACCCAACAGGATACCAGCTATTAAATTCAAAGGATTGGCTCTGAATGTGACAATGTCTGGGTCTAACCCATCATATTTAGAACCTGGCATAAAGTTTTTGGTCAGTTCAGTTTTGATAATATTCTAGTAAATATTTTTCTCATTAGATGTATTAAATATAGTTAGCTATATATAGATTAACAGTACTGTATTTAGTTAGATAATATTTTAACATATGATTTTTTTAAAAATTATCCATTTGGCTGGATTTAATTCTTTGAATTAAATACAGTGTCCTATGAAATTTTCACTAGAATAGCACAAAATGAGGGCTCTTAATTACTTATTATGTGCAGCAGGAGCAAAATATTTAGCAATCACAGCTTGGTATGAGAACAACTGCCCCTCCGTGTTATCTCTTGCAATAGTTTTGGGTCTTCACAACTCATTTGTGATACCATAGAATCAAATAATGAATCAGAGATGTATGAAGGCTGTTATACTTACTCTCCAGATTCAGATTCAATGTAATATATGGTGTTGTTCCTCTGTTCACTTGAACAATATAAGCGGATACCATTGAGTGCAGAGTCATCTTTAAAAGCTCCTCCATCCTCCAGTACCTAACAGAATAAAGGCAGATGTGGTACGTTGACATTCTGAAATTTACTTTCCTTTACATTCAACCCCTAGCTTTTCTAGGTGGTGTGTAAAAAATTCACTGTTGGAAATGCTGCAGAGGCACTGTCATTCAAGTGTCAATAATTCTGAATGACATGGGTCAATATAAGGCAGCATCCTATAATCCTCTTTTATTAATCGATTAGTACACCAATTAAGCCATGCACTTCTTCCAGTGAAGTGCATGACTCTTCTCCACCACACTTCATTCCCACTACAGCTCCATAAGGGGAACCAACCTGAAAGACTACCCTGGCCCAAGACTACCCTGGAATCTCATGGCTCCATGGGAATGTAAGCTGGGTCTCTTGAGTCCTAGCCCAACATTCTAATCCACAACAATATAGCAACTTTATCAGAAGACATCCCATAGATATTTACCTTTATACTAAAGCCAACAGCAAGTGATCGTCTTGGACACATGTCAACCCATGTCCATTCACCCCAAGGTCCTCCATTGGTTACAGATATTGTATTGCAACTTGTTCTCTTTGCAAAGGTGCCATTAGCAGGGATAATTCTTTCATCCCAGGCTGATGTGAGATATATTAAAGCAAAGAAAAAGATTACAGAAAAGGGCTGCATTGTTGTACAAGCTGGCTGAAGTAGCCCCAAACTGGTTGTAAATTTCACACACTCTGTATTTTATACCTCAGTTTATCACTGAAGTAATGTATCCAAGATTGCCACTCTGAAAAGTAAACACTCATTAATGTTTAGCAAAATGGCTTTCCTGGCTCATATTGCTAGCCAAATCTGGAAGGGATCCTTCATGGGTGACTGTGAGTAAAACATACTGAATACCATGGAGTGGATTCATTTTGTCCCAAGGGAGTGGATTCATTTTGTCCTGGCATCCGAGCTCAGGTTACTCAAATGCAACTCCCACTTTCGTAGAATGTCCATTATTGTTCTTCACCTGAAGAAAGCATTTTATTGTCTTTGTTTCATGACCAGGAAATCTTATTAGTTGGGTTCACTTTGGAGCAAATGTATCTTGGTTCCCATTGTAAGAGTCATCAGTGCCTGCAGGACCAAGAAGAAAAAAAAGGCTGGGGAGGATCCCATAATTTCTCTAGGAAAAAAATTTAATGTGCAGATGAACCATTGAAAGGTTCAAAGGTTCAATGGTTTAAGGTGCAATCAAAGGGCTGGAACAACATGCATCTGATTGCACCAGAAAAGGTACTTTTCAGGAAGTGACATGCCTTAAAGCAACCCTTCTGTCTGCCAGAATATTGCTCCAGCCCAGCCCCTAAAATGCACTCGTCCTACAGCTGGAACAAAGAGGTCCAGCTTGGGCAAAGTTCAGGGTCAATTCCCTGACCCTTTCTTGATTGCTGGGAAATACATCACACTAGACTTTTTTAATTTTACTTTTTATTTATTTGATTTATATCCCACCCATCTGGTCTATACGACCACTCTAGGCGGCTTCCAGTATAACATAAACATATAATAAAATAACTGAAAAATTACACAAAACTTCAAATAACAATTACAAACCAGAAAGAGGGAAAATAAATGGAGAAAAATGAGGGAAAGAATCAAGTATTGACTGGAGGGAAGGCCTGAATAAACATCCATGTTTTTAATTGTCTTTTGAAGATACCCAACGTAGGGGCTGCGCAAGTCTCCAGAGGGAGGTTGTTCCAGAGGTGGGGAGCCACCGCCGAGAAGGCCCGATTTCATGTCTTTTCCTTCTGGGCCTCTCTCGGCGTCAGGCTCCTCAGCCTCACCTCCTGACTCGCACGGGTGATCCGGGTAGACCTTTGTGGGAGTAGGCGTTCCGCCAGATCAAGGTCCTAAACCGTTTAGGGCCTTATAAGTAAGCATTAAAACTTTAAAGTCGATGCGGAATCGAATGGGCAGCCAATGCAGAGCAACCAGAGTAGGAGAGATATGCTGGTATTTTCTCACTCCGCTTAGGAGTCTGGTCGCCGCATTCTGCACCATCTGAAGTTTCCGCATCAGCCTCAAAGGCAGCCCCACGTAGAGCGCATTACAGTGTTCTAATCTTGAGATTACAAGCGCGTGTACCAAGGTGGTGAGCGCCCCCATGTCGAGATAGGGTCGCAGCCGGGCTATCCGCCAGGGATGGAAAAAGGCGATGCGGACTACCGACGCCACCTGCGTTTCCATGGTGAGCGTCGGGTCCCGATGTATCCCCAAGCTGCAAACCCCACTCTTCGCGGCCAGGGCCACCCCCCTGAACGAGAGTCACCCAAGCTGCCAAGCCCAGGGGCCCCCACCCTCAGAACTTCCGTCTTGTCCAGGTTGAACCTCAGCCCATTTTCCTACATCCATCGCAGTACGATCCCCAGGCCGTACTGCTTTCATCCTTAGATGAGGAGATTTTGAAGACTGAGATTAAAATGTCCATGTAGCTGAAAAGAGGATGCTCAAAACAAGGCTGTTTACTAGAACTTTTGTGAACATCCTCTCTTAATGAAGCATGGAGTGACCATCTTTAAATTGGCTGTTCGCCTTTGATTGTTTTTTTGGAATTTATTTATAGGGTACTGCCTTGTTTATATGTGGGGTCTGTGTTTACTATATTATTAAAGTTTTATTTTATGTCATGTTTGTTTCATATTGGATGTAAACTGCTGAGAGCAGTGTTTACCACTAATCTGCATGGTATATAAGTAAAACAAAATAGTTCTTAAGATCTCTTGGTGCAACTCACTGGTCAGAATCCAACTGGAAAAAACTGTGTACACATTGGTGACTGTTCAGTGTCCCCCTGGTGTACAATCCAGTGTGTAACCATGCGTGTCACTGCTTCCTTAAACTGAGGAAACCCAGGAGTGTAGGAGATGCAGAGTAGTATAAGCAGCTCCCATATGTGTGTGTCTGTTCGCACAGATGCAAGATTGACTCAGTTTAACCTTCATCAAAGAGGTGCTATGAGAATTAAATATGGGGAGAGGGATTATATGTATGCTACAGTTTGAGTTATCTAGATTAAAGGCAAAATACACATGCAATAGGTCCTAAATGCCACACCTGTCATCTATGACAGAACTGTACACTTTGATTGGGACAGAAATTAGAAGTCTTTGTAGAATGAACAGCCTTCCTTTATCATTTAAAACAAAGGCCAGTATCCTGTTGCTAGTCCCAATGAAGAGCAGACACACTGACTGAAATCCTATAGCAAGCTGCAACTAGGGTAGGCCCATTGAATCAGTGGATTTGGTGAATCAATTCCTCCATAAGTTCCACTGATTGAATTGGCCTACTTTAGTTGCAACTTACTACTGAATTCCAGCCTTTGAATCAATTGCTAAGTGGTAAGACAAATTAATGCAACTCCTATTGAGTCAATGGGTCTACTCTAGATGGGAGCAGCAATAGTATAATCACCAATAAAACTAACAACAACAAACCCAGGGAATTTTTGTTTTGTTGCATTAGGTTTTCTGGATGTTACTGCCCTAATATTGACTTCCAGCTTCTTTTATAAGAACTTTTTTTATTCCATACGTGTAGGAATGTGGAAGTAATTGGGCCATTGTTAAACATCAGCACAGCACTATTTAGATTGTGTGGCACACTGGCAATATGTGTTAGAAAGTGGCTACTCAATGGAATTGGGTAAATTGAGATTCATTGTGGTTTTCACCAATGCTGGGTTCCTTGCAGCCACCAGACCAGATCCCAGCCAAACAGATGAGAGGGGATTTGTGCCTGAGAGGTGACTGTTTAAATTGCTTCATTATAAGCTTCTTCCAAAATAGCAAAGCAGTCCAAAATGAAATCTGCACTGTATTATGGGATTACTATTACTGTAACAATATGCAGAAGGCATTATTCATGCTTGAATTTTCTTTCTTTATGTTGACCTAGTTATGTATAGTAAGTAACTTTGATGGCTGTAACTGGGCAACTGGGACTTCTCTCTCTGCTTTGTAAGTGCGCAGCTAGAATAAAGCACAGCTGTTGATTTATCAGGAGGAAGTTACCACTTGCAAGTTTGTTTGCTTGCCATAAAACTCCAAGAGCACAGCAGCGGGAATCAAATCCACATGCTCAGATGTGAGAAAAGAGCGGTCGAAATCTGATGTCAACTTACTGGCCAGTGCTGAGGCCAAAACTCTTAGAGAAGTTTTGTATCAATGTATATCTAAATTAATTCAGATCAATCATCTGAAGTGCTTCTGAGTTAAACCAACCCCATTGCCAGTGTTATCTATCCTGCCTTGTCATATATCAAAGAGTTTAAAGGGACCTGCAATATGTTTGTATTCTTGACTGCATAGTTTTTAATCAATCTATCAGTTGTGAAATTCTGTTTTTGCTGGTGGTACTTACTGATCTGCCTCAAAAGAAAAGAAAAGAAGGGGAATGAGACAGAAAGTATATACATGCTTTGTTTCTTATGGAAGGAAACTGAGGATATAACATTACATCATTTAAAAAAACGACTAAGCAAGGAACTCTTGGTCTTCCTGAATGGAATGGAAACTCTGCTTGGGTGGTCTAGGTTCTGTAGAGGGCTGGCAGGTAGAACGTTTGACTTAACCTGGCAGACTGCCAATTACTCCTTGAGGAAGAATTTTCATTTGGGTAGCAAAACCAGGCATATTTTTCTGACTCACATCACTGAATATGTCAACTTCTTTCATGGAAATCAATTCTATTTTGTTAAAGCATGTCTTAAACGTTTTCTCAAATGACACATTAGGTATGTTAGTCCTGAGCTTGTAAAATGTGCAGCATAAGAAGCTAGATAATCTCATAGCAATTCTGAGAAAATATGCTTAACAACTTGGGACTTGCAGCCAAAAGGGAAAAGCCAAGATCCTGTACATCCTCATAGCTGGCAAATCTTCCCTTGTAACTACCTATCAGGGGGTGGGGGCTGCAGACGAAAAGCTCCCCATGCTAACCATTGAAAGACATAGCACTCTTCTCCTCAAAGCATTATTTTGATTTTTAATGTTTATTTATTTTTGTGGTGAGAAACATATAGCAATGGGAAAATGTGAGATATATAAATGGAAGTCATTTTTTCAACTCTCTAGAAAATTCAGCTAATGAAGCAAAGCAACGGCATAATAAAAACCTTGTTCAGAAGGTCCTCACTCTAGGAAAAAGCCTATTCTTTCGCTAAGGGCTGCTCCACATTCTGACCTAGATGTGTGACGTAGTGGTTAGGATGTTAGACAAGGACTCAGAAATTCTGGACTCCTATTCCTACTGAGACATGAAACTCAATTATCCTGTTCAGTCACATCTTCTCAGCTTGACTTACCTCACAAGATTCTTGTAAGGATAAAGTGGAGAGGAAGAGAGGTACATTCTCTGCCTTGAGTTCACTGAAGAGAGGTGGGATATCATAGTAATAATAACAAACAAAATCAGAGCAAACAAGAAGCCAGCATATCTGGGTAGAAAACTGCCTCAGATGGTTTCCCTTGATCCATCCCTCCAGACCGCAACCTGAGAGAGCTGGTTTTGTGCGTCATAATATACGGGCAACAAGTTATTAACTGTTCAGGTTATTACTATTCCATTGTATTGTTGATTCCAAGGAGAATTGTTCAGACTTCCTTTAGGTGTAAGAATAATGTGGCTGGCCTTGTGTATTAAGCTCCT